GGTGCCCAAAAATTATGAAAAATATTATATAAATAAAATACTTCGATCAAAATACTATGACAAAGATGATTTGTAATTTGAAGTTATAATGACCCTAGAAAAAAAAATTGGCAAAGTCAAAATATGGTTTATTACAACACAGCTCATTTAGAATTATCTGTTGTAGTTAAGATGCTTAGTATGAAAATTGAATATAATATCCCATGGAAGCACTTTAGTGAGTGCTAATCTTCTTAAGGAAATAAATTAAGTGGATAATTTAATTCCCATATATTTGTATTGAACAAATAAATTAGTATCAAAGTTGGGTCTAACTGCTATAAAAATTGATTGTTGTATAAAATGTTATATGTTATATTATAAGGATAATACAATAAAAGTTTGCTATCATATATGTAGTGTATTAAGGTTCAAAAACAACTTTGTTAACAGAAAAATATTTTATGTTCTCAATTATTTTAATTACCAATTATTCTAAGACTTCAACGCCTCTACGTATTAATGAGTTCAGCATGTCATATGAGAATACATAAGGAGAAATTAGCTCACAATGATGTTTATTCGTATCCATCATATGATAAAGAATGTAAACACTTTGATTGGGCACATGCTTCATTTTCTATCGAGCCACGTAACATACGATTGTGATTATGTACTGATGGTTTCATTCCGTATAGTTTGGCACCTTCACTTTACTCTTATTGACTAGTTATATTAATGTTGTATAATCTTTCACCAAAGATATAAATTTTCCATACATGTTCTTGAAACTTATAATATTAGGATCATATAATCCAAAAGTAAAAATTGATATTTTTTGCAACCATTAATTGAGGACCTCAAGCTCTTAAGGGAAGAATATGTCCTCACATATGACATCTCAATCAAAAAAAAAAATTATTCATAAAGCTGCATTGCTATGGACCATTGGTAATTTTCTAGCTTACAATATGTTATCGGGTTGCACTAAAACAGAAAAATTAGCTTGCCCTTACTGCATGGAGAATAATACCAAAGTTTTTACCTTAAAACATGGAGGAAAAAATATTTGATTTAATTATCATCGTATGTTCTTGCCATTTGATCATCCCTTTAGAAGAAATAAGGATACATTCCTCAGAAACATAGTTGAGAGGTCACCTCCTCGATCCAGCCAAATTAAGTGGTTCTGACATTCTACAAAGACTTTTTAGAATTTTAGTAATTACTAATTTCCCAATGTTGTCAGAGCAATTACTAATTCCTTTTTTTTATTATTATAGATGAATTTAAGTGATGAGGCTCCTCGTAGATATATTACATTAATATTTGGTCATAGGAAGAAGTTGATGTACCACTGGACCAACTAGGTTTATATAGGGTGAGCAGGGTCAGAGAAAGACAATTCCACTAGTGGCAGGACTGACAATATCAGGGAGTCACCAATATTCCCCATTAAGCAGGGTTAAGGACATATAGTTCCACCTATGGTTGGAGTATCACCCATGATGGATACTTTCATCTCCTAGTTCTAATATTCCTCAATTTTCATTTCTATATCAAATAAAGTCAAGTCCATTATATTGATATTATCCCCCACCACCTTCTCAAACTAGTCCATCAACCAACCCTTATCCTTCTTACCATCAGTTATACTTTTATCCATCTTTTATCTGGCCATAACAGGGTTGACCATCGACAGAAGCAAATGTTAGAGATGAGGAGCCTACAACAATAGAGTATAAGCGTGTCTACATAGAATCTGATGGTGATATGTAAGTTTATTTTATTATTAAATTTAAAATTTGATATGTTACATCATTTGTAGTTTTTGCAGGTTTAATCTTGCCAAATAGGCCACCCACAAGATTTGAGACATAATACTAAGTAGATATGATGCTTCTTACTTATCTTGGAAGAAAATTTCAAAGCAAGTTAAAGATATGTGGTTCAAAAAATTTCATGTGTAAAATTTTAATATTACTTAAAATTTGTGATTATTTTTATATTAATATTATTTATTGTGTCATTATTATATAGAAAGATTTTAGATGGTTGCCTGAACATTTTACAATGATTGTAACTAATTTTAAAAGAAGAGGTTATACTCATCTTAGGGATATATTAACAGACATTAGAAAGACTGGGGAACATCCTTTATGACTTGGAGAGAGCGTGTGGGATGATTTGACTAAAGCTTGGGCCAGCCATGAGTTCACCAAGTTGAGAGAACAAAAAAATCATAATAGAGCATATGATTGTGGCGGTTTAAGCTCTCTTCACATAGGTGGTTTAGTGCCGCATACTAAGCATAGACGGCAACTTGTAAATGATTATTTTAATTTCATAAAAATATGTATATTGTTATAACAATTAATGCTCTCTATTACAGAAAGAATTTCTTGGTTGGGAACCAATACCGTTGGAGCTCATAAACGTACTCACCAACATCAAGCTGATGATCAGTGGATTGATGAGAAGGAAAAAAAGCTCATATGAGTATCAATTTTTAAGTAGTCATACTGCAAATAGAAACAAATTTCTACGAATTTAGTTTCTCGCATGATGATTTTGTACGACTTCGGGAGGGTCAGACGTCTACTGCTGTGGGATCATCTTCAGGATCGACGTAGTACTTTGAGTACCACATGTGGTCTGAGGCTGTTGGAGGGAGACAGAAGGGGAGGGTTTATGGATCAAATTCGAAGCGTATGTATATGAGAGAAATACATCCCACTTCAGCATCTTTTGGTAATGGTAGAGTTGATGATATCGATATTTAGAGGGTTGCTACTCTCACCAATGAGATAAAATAGATACGTGCCAACATACTGACACAATAAACTAAGATGTAGGTAGAGCTGCGATTATATCTAACTCAAAGAAGAAAGAAAAATGATCAGTAGCCTGAGTATAAATAAGAGGGGAGCGAGGAGACGAAACATGATTAGAGAGTTTAATGTTTAAGTTATTGTCTTTGTTTGATGGAGAACATACTGCTGTGTTTTGCAAAACACATTATTATTCTAGTTGTTTGGAATACTTTTCTTAATAATGTAAATGTTTTGAAGTTGTTTATGTCAAACAATTTTGTTTTGTTGTTGTTAAACTTATATTTTAAATTGTTTTCTTATATTTTGAGTTTCAATATTATATGATGATGAATTCTATTGTGTATTTATTCATTAATTGCTGCAGGCTTCGATTGAGGAATATGCTTGTGGGCTAATAAAGGCTTTCAATTTTTTTGCTCGTCCTATAGGTTTATGGTGACCAAATTAAAACTGTAGAAAAACTTTGATATGAGGGAATGAATGAAGAACCGACGGCAAAAACAACCATAAAAATTCTAACATTTTTTTGACATTCAGACGATGGTAATTCACCAAAATTTTTTGGTAGCAATTAGTTCGCGCCCGTCACTTCCCTGGCCTGTCGGTCATACCTTAACACAAATCCATTGGTAACCTGCTAGAAATCAGCCAACAAAAATTTTTGGCAGAAAAACTACTGTTGAATATTTTTTCCTACGTGACTATTACGGACAGAAAATTTTTCGCCGAAAAGCTGCCAGAACATAAGAATCCGCCGAAAATGGCCTAATTTTCGCTAGAAATTTCTGCTTTTTCCTGTAGTGATACTTGGAGGATCTATCATTTCAAAATCAAAATACTTTCTTTTAGTAAATATTCAAGGACAATTTGTAATTGAATTAGTGCCTGATAATTTATTAAAAATAGAATATGAGTACTTTAGTCTTCTAGAATTTTATAATAAAGACCTTAGCTTCTTTTACTCTAAGAGTCCCTCTTCTCAAATTAGTTTACCTAGTGGTCTAAATTTTATAATTTTCTAGTGTCAAATTAGAATGTTAACACATATGAATTTAATGGTTCATTATAAATGCTTAAGAACTAGCATTAGATTTTTTTTTTAATTTTTTTGATAGTACACACATAAATATTATAAATTATAATGCATGAATAAATGTGATTAAATAAAACTACTTTGTTTTAATTCATTAAAAAATATGATAACAAATTTTACCACAAATAATAGTCACATCCTTCATGACCAAAATATTGCTACAATAACTTTTCATATAATTAGTAAAAAATTTACAAACAATGACCAATTAATATTTACTTATGTTTTTTTTTTTAAATAATGCATGATTAAAACCTTAACTTAAAATAATCAACCATTATTAAATAAAAATTGAACAAAATAATAATGTTTTATATCATCAAAGATCGTCAAAGTGAGCTTAATATATGATGCATTATAATTCTTCAAACCAAACAAAGGTCAGATTACAAGTAAATAAAATATTATAAACATCATAGTTATTCAAATTATTTTATGAAAAAAAAAATACTTATTATTGGTGGAATTCATATCAAGATGGCTTCATTGTCTTTGGATTTGCTCTGAGCTTAGTGTTAAATATGAAATTTCAGGGCTTCACTAATCTCAATGGAAACCTAAGGACAATAAAGCCTGTATTAATGCGAAAATCTAAAGATACATGCTTAAATTTTCTTTTTAAAGTTTATAATCGTCACCTCTAATTAGAGAAGGCTCCAATTAAGCACAATATTGAGTGAGAAACTTTAGAGATAAAAATATAAATTAAAGAGAGAAAAATGACTCATTAAAATAAAAAAATAAAAAAATTCTAATACAATTTATATAATAGGAAAGGTAAATAAATATTTAAATTTTTTAAAATTAAAATTTAATATCCATTTTTATTTTCTAATTTTAAATATTTATGTTTTTTAACTTTTTTATACTGATGCAAATTTTATCAAAATATTTAATTAATTTATTTTTTTTTCAGGCCGGCAAAATCTTTTTTCCCATTACCTCCTCCAAAATCCATCCTTTGCCGGCCCCCCTCTCCACTCCTTTTAAGACTCTCTCTCTCTCCCTCCCTCTCTCTCTCTCCCTCCTCCTCCTTCTTCTTCTTCTTCTTCCAATATCTCTCTCCTTCTCTTTATCACAGTGGTGACAAAACCATGGCGAAGAAGAAGCCGAACAGCTCTGCGTCAAACCATGAGAGCAATGAAACTACCAGATCAGAGAGCAACAATGGCGTTGAGAAGATGAAGAGGACGAGGAAAAACGTGCCGAGAGAAACTCCCTCTAAGAGAAGTTCAGTTTACCGCGGTGTAACCAGGTTTTTCCTCTGATCATAAATCTCGATCTTCTTCACAATTCTTTTTAAAATTTTTTCTTATATTTGTTCTTGCTCCTGACTTCTCAGGCACAGGTGGACTGGAAGATACGAAGCTCATCTCTGGGATAAGAACTGCTGGAATGAATCCCAAAACAAGAAAGGAAGACAGGGTGATTTATATTATATCCATAATCTAGCTTGCTTGATTTTCTTCTTTCTTTCATATTTTTATTTTTTTTACAAGTTTTATAAGGTAATTTTGTTTTAATTTTTTCTGTTTCTCTGCTGTTTTTCTTCTGTGCATGGAATTCAAACGCATTGCAGTTTATCTTGGTGAGTCTGAACAATAATAAAAAAAAAAAATTAATTTTTGGTTGAATTTTTTTTTTTTTGTTTAATTTTGTGAAAATATATAGGAGCATATGATGATGAAGCAGCAGCAGCAAGAGCTTATGATTTAGCTGCATTGAAGTACTGGGGCCAAGAGACCACCCTGAATTTTCCTGTAATTTCTATTTTATTTTTCTTTATTTATCTTTTTATTCTTATTATATTCTCTTTTATTTATTTCTCTTCTTTCTGAAAATTTCAGCTGCTAAACTATCAAGAAGAGCTGAAAGCAATGGCAGGCCAATCCAAGGAAGAGTATATTGGATCTCTGAGAAGGTAAAAAATCATAAAAATACACAAAAATAAACTATTTAATTATTATTATTATTATTATTAATTAAAATTTCATGTGATTTACAGGAAGAGCAGTGGATTCTCAAGAGGAGTGTCTAAATATAGAGGAGTAGCAAGGTGAGTTATTTTAATATTACTGCAATAAATTAGAGAGAAACCATTAAAAAAAAAGCTGAAATTTCGGGTGGCTATCTTTGTATAGATCAGAAGAACAATTCCATGCATAAATATGGCTCATCCAGACAGTTAAAGTTTTTAAAAAATAAGATTATTATTGATGAATTCCTCACCGTTAGATCAGATTTGAATGGTGAGTGATTCATTTGAGGAGGAGTTTGTTGCGATTCTGATGGAATTGTATGTGATTCGCTCCTTTATTGTAGGCAGCCTAAGGATCTTCCTCCGTTGCTTATGATAATTAATTAAAGCATCACTTTTTATTATTTCTTTTTCCTTATTAAATATAAGCATTATTTTAATTAAAATAATTTAGATTATTGCATGAAATGCTATTTATTTTTATTATTTTTAATGAAAAATGTTTTTGTTTTTATATATTTTGTAGGCATCATCATAATGGAAGATGGGAAGCTCGAATTGGTCGTGTATTTGGCAACAAATATTTATATCTTGGGACTTACGGTATTTATCATTATTTCTATTTTCTTTATATTTTTTGTTGAAGAAATTATTTTTAGGGCATAGGATTATTATTTAGATTTCATTTGGGATAATTTTTTTCTGCTTTATAAATCAGTTTTTAAATAAAAAAAATTTTAAATTTAAATTTTTTTTGGTGATAATAACAATTATGAAAATTAAATTATTATTTTATTTTTAATCTATTTAAAATATAGGTTCTTAATAGTTTCCATATGTGCCATATCAGTTGAAAATTAGAGGTAAGGGTATCCCTCACAGGAATTTATATAAACCAAAAATATTTTTTTAGAATTATTAAATTTATTTTGAAAAATTAACATTATAGAATACATAAAAAATTATTTGCATATTGCATAGGATCTAAACTGAACGCAATTCAAAGGTTGAATTTTTTAACAAATTTAATGTTGGCAACAAATTTATTGATAATTTGAATATAATTGACCTATATACTGTTTAAATCTCTACTAGGACTGGCATTACAATTTAAGAGCGCGCCACTAACAGTGCTAACGTGTTCAACATTGAGAAATCTCAACTAAGTTAAAAATGAAAAAATTTTGAGTGCATAAATAATTTTCCAACCTAATTTATTTTTTTCAAGAAAAAAATCTGTGTCTAAATAAAAAATAAAAAATTATTCCTTTAATTTTGCGAATACTTAATTTTTAGATAATTGAATTTTGCAAGGGCAATTGTAATAAAAATCGAATAGTGGCAATAAAAATAAAGAATTATTTATGGAAAATAACAACTAAAAATATTGAAAATATCTATGTTAATCAAAAAAAAAAAATAGATTAATTATATGAGAAATATTATATAAGTATATTTATGACTGGCATCAAGCATTAACACTATAGAGATATATGTAAACAAAATTTCTTTCGTAATATACATCATGAAAATTTTGCCAAACCAGAAATTAACAAAATCAAAATTCCATTTATTAAAAATTTACTGTAGAAATTATACAGGAAATAATAATTAATCATTACAAATAGATACAAGTAGTAAAAAATAAGACATTGTGCAGACACACTAATCATAGAATACAGAAGAATTTATCAATAAATAATGCTCCTAAAATCAAGAATTAGAAATTCTCAATGACAATAATAAAATTTGGATGAATTCAACAGAAATAAAAACATATCAATAATTATTATGATTTCTTATAAACAAATGGTTGTTTACTAAAATAGATAAAATATGCCTGGGCGATAACCCTACAGAAAAATTAAATATCTAGGATATTATATTATTCCATTTTCTTAAATATTTATATGATTTTATTTCGCATTTCAGCAGTTTGTTTAATTTGGATTTCTAATTATAGCCACAGCAACGTGCTTATTTTTTGTCCAATGGAAAAGCTAATTAATATAATAATTAATTTAAAAATAATTATTATCTGTTCATTTAAAGCGACTTTCTTGGAAGGACTATATAAAGAAAATAATCACTTATGATCAACTAAAATCTTTTGCTAATTATAAGGTTTAACATAAGAAAATTTATAATACCTACCTTGTTGATTAGCCGTTAATTAATAAAATGTTAGATATATAAGTTTATTTTTTAAATTGAAGTGGATCCTGGTACAGCAAATTGGGTAACTGTCCAGTGGAATCTAAATAGAGTAATCAATAATATGCATGGAACTTTAGGTATATAGAGCACAATACCATCGACATGAATGATGCTAGCTTCTCTCATATAAATGTTAAAAATAGGTAATAAAATAATTAAAGAGAATTTTTTATTTACGTAATATGCCCATAAAATATTAAAAAAAAGTTAAATTATTTTAATTTTATAATACAAATAAGTTAGTTTATGATTTAGTTTTTCATTTTGGGACTTTTTTTTACCTCAAGCTCTTTAAATACTAATAGTACAATTTTTTTTGTTGAATTAGAAATTTTTGTTAAAAAAAATGTTTAGAAATAATAAGAAAGCTATAACAAATCCTTAATCATTCACAAAGTTAGTAAGAATAGTAATCAAACTTTCAATCAATTATGATAATTATATTTTCATTTTCAGCATAGAGCTTCAACTATTTCATCACCATTTGGAGTGTAATTAGTAATTTTAATAATAATTTTATTAAAAAAAATTATAAATTGATTAATTCAATATTTAAATATAAAATAACAGAATAACTTAACAGACAACCACTCACTCTAAAATAATAAATAGATAAAATGTATATTTAATAATAATATTGATAGTCAATTCAAAGGAATATAGATAATAAACAATCATGCATTATTTAACCTTTTGGAGATTGGATCAATTATAGTATAAAAGTATAATTAGTTAAAGAAAAATAAACACATAAAGGATCAAAAGAAAATAAACAAGATAAAATATGACCGCAAGATGTTAATAAACACATATATAAAAATTATTAAATTAAAATAAAATATATTTAAATCATTTTATATTTTTTATTATAAATATATTTTATTAAACACCAAGTATATCTTGAAAAAATAATTTACAGGTTCATATCATCCTTAATTAAGATGAAAGACAAACAAACACATTCTTATCAAAAATAGATTAAGACTACCACATCAATAACACTTAGTCATTTTTAATAAAAAACACATGAAAACATACACGTAATCCACACGCGAAAGATTCTACAGGTGGAGAGTAATAGTATATATCGCATTAAGAACTTTCATAAAATTTTGCAGATTCTAAACCGAGCAAATATCATTTTATATGAATTATGAATTAATTATATAAAAACTTTTATAAAATGAAATCTAACAAAATAAAAATTTACAAAAAAAAATTTTTATTAATTAGTTAAAAATTTTAATTTTTCATACAATTCTAAAATATATCATTAATGTGATATATGATTTGATAAATATAGATGGCAAGGCACAATATAAAAAGACATAAAAAAACTTATTTTATATTTTATTTTAATATATAATATTTTACAAACATTAATAAATAAACTTTAATAAAAAAATAAAAAATTTAAAATTAAAATAATCCTTTATATAATTGAATAAAATAAAAAATATTTTATTTTAATAATCCATCAAAAAAACCATAATAGATGCAAAGATCAGGCCACATAGGAGGCATCAAAATCAGAAGAGAGTTACGCACCATTCACAATACTATAAGACACATACGCTAAAATCAACCACATATAAATATGGTCATAAAAATAAGGACCCCAACATGCCACACACAAATTAACCAAATGTAACTAATCAAAATAAATAATAAATTCTGTCCTCCAACGCAAAGGGATACAGGCTTGGAAGGGGTTATGAGCTTACAGAGCGGGAGGCACTCAGTTCCACGGCTACTTAACTAATCCCTGCCACAGTGTTTCATGGCTTAATATGGGTAAAATAAAAACTAATTAAAT